TTCCTGTTTAAAGGGAGTTTTTTCTCTCCACTGTCGCTACAAGCATGCTTAGTGTGAGGGATTGCTGAAGAGTCAATGAGTCGATGCAATCAACTGGTTTTCCTTAGATAGAAAACTTTAGAATCTGACTGGATGGTCTGGTGCTTTCAGATGACATGTGTGTGAATTGACGTTATGCAAATAAACTGAATTGAATTGGTTTGTTTCAGACATCAGTGAAGAAAGTCACGCCGAGGCCGGACTTTCCTCGCACCGGTCAGTGGGAGGTGGTGACAGAGAACAAAGAGAGATTAGAGGAGAGGCATGTGTTTGATGCAGTTATCTGCTGCTCGGGTCATTACACCTACCCTAACCTGCCTCTCAAAGACTTCCCAGGTATTCTTGGTCCTGTATTCTTTTTTTTCCATATATATACATATATATATATAAGATATTATCTGTAAAACAATCATAAACTTTCCCCAAAAACTGGAAAAAAAAGAAGCAATTATCACTGATGATGCTGTTGCAGGAATTGAGACATTTGAGGGGAAGTACCTCCACAGCTGGGACTACAAGGGACCTGAGGACATGTATGGGAAGACAGTGGTGGTCATCGGCATCGGTAACTCAGGAGGGGACATCGCTGTGGAGAGCAGCAGAGTTGCAGAGCAGGTTCATGATTCTTCTCTTTTTCTTTGAAATAAAACATCACTATATTACTATCAGGAGTCCTTTGTTATTTTTTTTTTTCCAGGTGTATCTGAGCACCCGTCGGGGCGCCTGGGTCATCCGTCAGGTTTCAGATAACGGCCTGCCGGTAGACATGAAGTACAACACCAGGTTCGTCCACATCCTGTTCCAGCTGCTGCCCATCAATTTCTTCAACTGGTTTGGGGAGAATAAGCTGAACGCCATGTATGACCACACCATGTACGCCCTTAAGCCCAGACACAGGTGGGTGTTCTCATGGAAGCATGCAATGCTTTAGCAACAGTTATAATCCGTTAGGATTTTAACTGGGAAATTAGTGCTGCAGCTAACAGTTATTTAGCAAATCCATCAATCTATCCATTATATTTTTGATGGATTGATTAATAATCAGATAGCTATGGGTTCCTTAAAGAAGACTTTTTACGAAATGAAACCAGGTGAAACTAAAACTTTTCCACTCTGAGCAGATTGACAGATGAAAAAGATTTTTGTCTTAAATGCAAAATGTTTATATATTTTTACAATTTTGGTATAATTCCTGCTCTAAAGGCATGTTTTACAGTCTCTATACTCCAGTTAACGATAAATTTTTAAATCCAGTTAATGATAATTAATTGCTAAATTAATTGACGATTATTTCAATAATCAGTTAATCCTGATTAATCCAATTAATTGTTTCAGCCCTAATGAAAAGCCTACACAAAGCGGTGCTTAATAGTCATTAAAATTAAAGGTACATCTAGATAAATGCAGTAAGGCTTTCTACTCAGTTCTCCTTTAATCAATACTTAGAACCACTTTTCACTGCAATTAGTTTTTGGTTATGTCTTCGTCAGCTTAACTGATCTAGACTTAAATGTTTCCTTTTCCTTTTTCCAATGGTATTTTAAGCAGGACTTTTCCTGCAACGTTCTATAAAAAGGATTTTGCTTCTCTTATGCTCCCTACCACTAGTTAGAACTGAAGAGGCCTCAGGGATGAGAGGTGAAACCACTGATCTCTATTTATTTGCTGGATTGCTGATTGCCGTTGGTACTCCAGGGTTGAAGTGAAGCCACCAGCCGCCCTATTGGTACTCCCTAGTTAGACATTCCGTAAAAATTCAAAAAATATCCACTGGACTTGGTTTTCAAGATTTGAAGACGTTTCGCCGCCTCTCCAGGAAGC